CATGAACTCTTTATGGAGGGAGTTCTTTACAGGTAAGAAGCATTTCAATATTCTTATCTCTTTCCATCCTGCTTTGGAAACAAATATATTCATAGAAAGGGTATCACAGCTTTCATTAAAGTAAAATATATTTTGTAGCATTATTATTTAATTTATTATATCTAAATATTTGCCAGTTCAAACATTTTGTGTTACATTAATTGGGCACATTGTCTTCAACCATGTGCGACCCCACTTATCCATATAAATTGATCTTTTTCCTTTTTGGCTTAAATAAAATTATAACATTCTGCATGAACTCTTTATGGAGGGAGGACTCTTCTTTACAGCTTCCCTCCCACCATCTGCTACACAGATATAAACATCATCATCATCCAGGGGGCACGGGTGGCCCAGTCGTCTAAGGCGCCGCGATTCGCTGTGCAGAGTTGCGTCCCTTGGGCACGCCAGAAACCTATCCCGAATCCCGGTTCGCCCCGATTATGTTTCTAGGTTTGTCAGCACCATACCCGTGCTCGTGGGTTTCACCGAAGTGGTAAACGTCTGAGACCTGCATCACTTCGGGCTTTCCTCCCACATTAAGCTGACACGCCATGATATAACTGGAATACTGTTAAAAGCGGCGTTAAGCCCAACTCACTCATCATCATCCAAGAACTGTTTTGACTAGCAGTCCAGTTGCTGGACAACAAAATACCACGCCCGGCTACAAAATGGCGCCTAACGTTGGGCTGCTAGTCTCACCAGGTTCATTTCTTGTACAGTGAGAAGAGGCAGTTCATCATTCATCAGATGGCAACTCAATATTCAAGAGTTCATGCAGTTTCCAAGGACATCTTGTACACTTTCGTGGATGAATAGTTCATTCATTCATCATACTGTTTTGTGAAGTGTATGGACCTTTTAACTTGTGATTTTTGTGTTTCACAAATTCAGGACTTGTACATTTGACTTTTGATCCTGAATATCAAGACATTATTTGTGATCCACATTGTATACTTCTCTTTATGTGTATCACATTACAATATCATCTTGCAATACCATCCTGTGATATATATTATATGTTGATCATGTTTACATTTGTTTGAAATTTATAATCATATTGACTTTTACAGAGTATTGATTATAGTACAAATTCTATTTCAACCAAATTTATATGTCTACAGTGCTTATTTAAACACTATATATAGTATAGATTCATTTTCATCTCACTGACAAGTTCATTCCGAAAAAATAATTGGAGTTCATATCTATTCAAAATTTCACCACTTATGAAAATTTCAGGTTAATATGAAAGAAAATTTAGAAGCATAATTGTAAGATTTAGAGCAGGTCTTTTAAAATTGAAGAATAATGAAGGCAGATATCTGTCGATAGAAAAGTCTTTTCCGAATATGTCCAGTCTGTAATAATAGTATAGAGGATGAATTTCATTTTTTACTCATTTGTTCATGTTTTAATGATCTCAGAAAAGAATACTTACGGGCAAAACTTTGCCGCTATTCTTGCTTGAACCATTTCAAATCTATTATGTGTAAAAACAATGAAGCAGTTTTAAATAGTTTATCACGTTTCCTATATTGCGCTTATGCAAAAAGAACAAGTAGTACAATTGAATTATGACATAAGTCATGTGTCACGTTACGTTACCGTTGCATCTGTGAACAATTGGTTCATTGTGAACTGTAATTGTATATGGGCCCGAGGCCTTCGTGCAAATAAAAGTTCTTCTTCTTCAAGTGTTCCTTGGAGTTATGTCTTCTCGGTTTACATGGTGCCTGGTGCTTTGCTGAAGTCTATTTTTGTTCTGTTTGAAAAAATCACCCCCGTAGTCATCAAGTAGCCACTTCGTCACCCCAAGGACAAGTGCCAGCACTACAGTTTTAACATGCAGCTAAAAAAGGAAGTTCTCATGATACGCAATAAAATATATTTGGGGCAAAAGTTTTATTAGGGTTTGTTCAATACAGAATGGGGATATAATGTTCTATATAGTCAAGGATTCAATTGAATAGTGGAACCGGACTTTCTGTAGCCCGTTATAGAGAAAAAAATTCCCTTTCCGCGGTTTTAGATGCGTAGATCCCATCATTGAAGGGGTGATCGGTAACTTTGATGTCAGTTTACAATAAGAAGATGCAGAAGAAATGAGAGTATCAGACCTATCGGGAAATCCACATTACGGCTTCAGATGTACTCTTAGAAGACGAAGAACAAATATCATTTGTTGGTTAACACCGCACTTAGCAATATTCCAGCTATATGACGGCGGTCTGTAAAATAATCGTGTCTGGACCATACAATCCAGTGATTGACAGCATTAACATCGATCCACGCAATTGGGATCGATGACATGTATCAACCAAGTCAGCGAGCCAGACCACCCGATCCCGTTAGTCACCTTTTACGGCAAGTATTGGCTGCTGAAGACCTATTCTACCCCGGAATCTTCACGGGTCTGCTATTAATGTATTTTAGTCACGATATGGCTGAAATATTGCCGATGTGACGTTAAATATTAACTCACTCACAAGGGATAAATATTTCAAAGTTACATCTCTGCAGGATCTTTTAGTAATATTAGTTCGCATATAATTATTGGCTTTTAAAAATAAATAGAGTTGTATTATAAATTGTGTTAACTTGTTTTGTATAGAATAAATTGATATCTTGATAAATTATTGTCCCCCTGAGAGGGTATCGTAAGTCCATAATATCCAAAGTATGTTATTCCTCAATATAGTTTTAAACGTAGAATAAGTGTTCTTTTAATCTGGCTAAATTTGTCAATAATCGCCAACACTTGAAGGGATGATGTAAATCCGGCTTGGGTCCATGCATGAAACTAAAGTACTGTAAGTCCCCTTAGCCAATAGTAATAATTAAATAAGTGGAGTAAGATTGAACACAGTTTTAATAGGCTAGCGCTTTCAACTCGTACCACGTACGAGTCTCATCAGGCCATAACTGAATATACACGACGTACTTTTTTATACATTTGCGTTTTCAAATCCTTCTATAATCATTATTTGTAAACTCATTGTCTTTTTTTTTCTTTGTTTAATCCCTGTTAGAGCCATAGTCTATAACACTGGTGCCAGTACCGTTTACCACGTGACATGGAGTGGGGGCTCTATATCATTCCTCCAACCCCACTGCGAGTGGGTGCCCAGTCTATGTCTACGTCTGCTTCTTCTTCTACCCCTGCAGCGACTGTGTATTGTCCACACATCATCCTTCAACGTGAGAGAGGAGCTGTCACCGCCTTATGAAGAGAGTGTGCATGTGGCTACATCCGAGACCTAGAAATGCTTTTTTTTAAATAAATCTCTTTTTATTTTTCACTTATTATTATGCATTATTTTTAACAAAACATATTGGAAAACGAAAGACAAAGCTGTAACATTTTCTCTCCTTCACGATCGGAAATGGAGAGCTTATTGCGAGCTTTACTTTAAACACATACTGTAACAGTGCCTCGACTATCCTAGCAAAGACGTCACAAACGAGGTAATGTTTTTGACCGTTTGCCTAGTCATAATGTACAGTTCAAAGGGTGAGGGGGGAGAAGGGTGAACCCAATGACACAGTGTCGGCCGGACGCGTTTCTAGGCTAACAGTCAAGACATTGACGCTTTACGAGTACGAGTACGAGTGATTCACCATCATGGTCGTTGAGACAGGGGTCAGTGTTGTATGTGATTGGGAAGGGAGATAATAGACAAATATTTAGATAACTACTTGATCTCCTCATCAGCTTACTACGAGGTTCACGTTTTCTCTTGTGTTGAATAAATACCTGTGTAAGGAAACTGAGGATACACATTCCCGACATTCTAAAATAGACCAGACACGCCATAACATTGTAGACAGACATTCTACAACATTCCATAACAGACCAGACGTGGTATACCATTTCAGACGTTCCATACCCATTCTCAACACTTCATAATAGATCAGACGTACCATACCATTCCAAACATTTCATACAGTCTACAACATTCCAGACATTCCAAAATAAACCAGACGTGGCATACCATTCCACACATTCCGGACATTCCTAACCTCCCTTTGATAAAACACCACCCTATATGTCAGTGCACTCCAATAGTTCCGAATTGTGTAACTGTTGAATGTCTTAAAAGTTGCAATGGTTCATTCTTCCAACCGGAATGGTGTTGGAAGCTGGCATGAGTTCGTTGTTTTCAGATAGATATCCCGTCCGCACTTGGCAAATACATACACTGCAAGATGTCATGTCGCTTTTATATATGTACAGACAGCCTTAAAGATCCCTCGACATTTTACAAGCGTTTTAGTCGTTTGCAGCAGACGTTGACAGTCACTACAAAATAACTAGCAACGTTCCCTGCTGCCACAACAAGTTTATATTATCTAATTGAATATGGGAGTAATGTGTGACAGTTATAAATTGATTGTTATGAATGTGGTGTGTGTACTGATTGGTTAATTGCAGATATCAAGCTACATTTTGTCAAATTGACTATTATATCATATAGCAGGTACACTGTGCACATAGTGCTTTGTCTGATTCATGTTTGCACTACTGGTCATACATGTTTCCTGCTGTTTCACTTTTGGATCAAATAATTAATATCAGAGGAATGAAATATCCTTGTTGGAAAACGAATGCAGAGACATGTAAAATTACAGCAGATAAGACAATTCAAGTGCATTCAATGATTAAAATAAATATCAGAACACAGATAGGTTTGAGACATATTGTATTGATGCATCTTTGGTAGTCCGGGTGAGTATATGGTGACATAACTCGATGGAGAGTATACTAGAATTCCAAAGTCTTGACTTACGTCTCACTATGAAATACGTTCCTCAAAATGTGTTTTTAGACTGTAAAAGATAATATACTGAAAAGAAATCGTTTTCCTTTGCTATGATAGTTGCATTTAATCCTTCATTATTTTTGCTTGTAATGTCTACAATCGCTTTTGAAAGGATGTATTTCACAATGTCCACACATCCTCCCAAGCTTGCCAAATGAAGGATGTTGCTGCCATCAGTATCTACTAGTGACAAATTAGCTCCTTTCTGCACAAGTACATCAAATCCACTTTTACACCCAGAACTTGCAGCCATCATCACTGGTGTCCTGTCATTTTCCCCTTTACTGTTAATGTCCACAATGTTATGAGAAAGAAAGTACCTCACTATCTCCCCATTTGCTCTTGAGGCCAAATGAAGAATGGTGTTGTGACGTGCATCTAGTAGTGTCAGATCGGCACCTTCCTTCGCAAGTAAATCCAAAACTTGTTTGTGTCCCGAGATTGATGCAACCATCGCTGGTGTCCTGCCACCCGTATTTTTCCTGTTGATGTCTTGCGCAATGCTCTTCTGTCTCAGGACATACTTCAATATATCCACATTTCCTCCCTCACAGGCCTTATGAAGAAAAGCGTCACCTTCAGCATAAGCTCTTGACAGATCAGCTCCTTTACTCACCATTAAGTCAAATATATCTCCATGTCCACTCTCTGCTGCCAGCAACACTGGTGTTATTCCCTGCCTGTCTTCCTCGTTGATATCAACAACGTCCTGTGTGAGGATATATTTCACTAACTCCATATGCTTACGCTGAAAAGCAATATGAAGGATATTTCTACGTTTCCCTGTAACTAGGGTCAGATCAGCTCCTTCAGTCACAAGTAAAGTTAGCACGTCTTTGTGCCCAGCAGAGGCTGTTATCATTGCTGACGTCCACCCCTCAGGTGTTCTACTGTTAATGTCCACAATGTTCTGTTTCAGGACATAATTCACCAGCCCCGTATGTCCTCCTGTACAGGCGATATGAAGAATGTTGCTACCTGTCTCATCCACTAGTAACAGATCAGCTCTGTGTGCCAGAAGTAGGTCGAAAATATCCTTTTGTCCCCTTGTGGCTGTTATCATTGCTGGTGTAAATCCAAAATATCCTCTACTGTTGATATCGACAATACTCTGTTTGAGAATGTATTTTACTATTTCTATATTTCCCCCTCTACATGCGTTATGCAGAATGCCGTCACCGTTTTCGTTCTCAAATAACAGATCAGCTTCGTTCTCTACAAGAAGGTCAAACACTTCTTTTTGTCCATTTGATACTGCCACTAATACTGGTGTTGACCCGTCACTGCAGCTGGTGTAGATGATTTCTATGTTCTGTGTGAGAATATACTTTACTGTCTCTACATTACCTCCTCGACAGGCAGCATGAAGACTTGTGCAACCCTGATCATCAAACAGTGACAGATCAGCTCCTCTCCTCACTAGTACGTCAAACACATCTTTATGTCCCGAGACGGCCGCTTCCATTACTGGTGTATATCCTTCAAATCCTCTCGTGTTAATGTCCACAATTTTTGCTGTTATTACATAATTAACTATCTCAATATTTCCCCCCTTACATGCTATGTGTAGAATAGTGTTATCGTCAAAATCGACATATGGGAGATCAGTTCCTTTCCTCAAAAGTAAATCAAACACTTCCTTATGTCCATGTAGAGCTGCTGTCCATGCTGGAGTCTGCATCTCACCATTTATACTGTTGACGTCCACACTGTCCTGTGTGAGGACATAATTCACTATCTCCACATTTCCTCCTTTACAGGCCACATGCAGAATAGTGTTACCATCGTCATCCAAGAGTGCGAGATTAGCCCCATGATGAACAAGTACGTCAAACACATCCTTGTGTGCTTCCACTGCTGCAAACATGACTGGTGTCCTACCGTGTAGGCCCCTGGTGTTGATGTCCGTGCGGGCATCAGATAAGGTGTATTTGACCTTGCACAAGTCACCATCAGTGCTGGCCTTAACAAGCTTGTGGTTTAAGTTGGGTATGTTTTGTTGTTTATTCTCTTTTTCTGAACGACATGCATGTAAAAACATCATTTGCGAATGCTGGACACATTTAGCAGCTTAACATGACTAAACTAACCCGCACAACATACTTCCTGTTGTTATATTAAAGGATTCCCGAATTGGAGCACACACAAATTAATCAGGAAATCTGCTTTCCAGGCGGCATTAAAAGTGATTTGAGATGGCATTGCCTCTTAATTCATTTTCGTCCCCCTAAGAGGGTATGTAAGTCCCAAATCATTCGAAGTATTTTTATGCATGCCAGGCTTTTAAACGTAGTATTTTTGTCATTTTAATCTTAGGCTTAACTGGTCAATTATCGTCAAGGACTGTAAGGTGATATAAATCCTGCCAGGGCCCATGTAGGAAGCAAAGGTACTGTAAGTCCCCATGGTCCCTGGTGTGGTAATCTCCCTTTAGTTACTGACGATCTCTAGCCCATTTTTATATTGTGTTGTCTCTTAATACGTAATGCTTTTAAATGTTCCACAACTAGTTTTGAATCTTATCTGTGATATTCTAGTTATCATACTGTCCTTCGTTGTCAGATTTTTATAAAATTTAAATATATGTATATTTCATGTCTAACTTCTCGTCACGATATGGCTGAAATATTGCCGATGTGACGTAAAGCATTAACTCACTCACTCACTTAATTCATTTTCGATTTCACGTGTAACACATTGCATTACTTAAAAGGTTACAACATTTCTATATGCATACTATGCTACACTTAATCAACGAATAAAAGCAAAGCATTTCTTACAGAATTGTTTTAAAGAAAGAAATCTTTAGTTGGTTGGTTTGTTGTTTAACGCCGCACTCAGCAATATTCCAGGTATATGACGGCGGTCTGTATATAATCGAGTCTGGACCAGACAATCCAGTGATTATCATGAGCATCGATCCACGCAATTGGGATATGAAGACATGCATCAACCAAGTCAACGAGCCTGGCCACCTGATTCCGTTAGTCGCCTTTTATGGCAAGAATAGGGTGCTGAAGACCTATTCTATCCCGGGTCTTCACGGGTCAAGAAAACTTTGAAAACGGCAGGTTAATGATGATTCTACTTAATGGTACGAATATGTTCATGAGACAAAATATTACTTCAGCACTAAATGTGTGAAGCAAGCTTCCACCACATTGAGAATCCTGTTGATGATTGGTGGCATTTATTGAATAACAATAATAATAATAATGAAAACAAGGTATTCGACAGTTTTCTAAAACGAGCCAATGCTCTGTACTGCTGGAAGGTTACAATGTTGGCATAGCCGCACGTTCAGGAAAGGAGCAATCGAGTTAATAATTTTCACATGTTTACTTAAACGAGTATTAGGCAAGGTGTTCATATCAAACATGTGAAGTCATGATTAAACGTTCCATATTCCGATAAATATTGGTACGATGTCAACGAATGTCTTAAACTAATGATACCGAATAAGAAAGACAGCATTTAATTTAGAACAAGTATTTGTCACAGAGTGACGAAATATCCCCCGCCTGTACACCATAGTACCAAATATGAAGACAATCCAGCGATTAGTTCTTGAGATATTGTGGCAACACCGTTTTCCAACTCCAAAAACAGATTTGCCTGCTGTGACCTTGAAAATGGGGTCAAGGTCACCAAATCTGACAGGTGTATGCGGTGTCTGTATATACACTATAGTTCCAAATATGAAGACAATCCAGCGATTAGTTCTTGAGATATCGCGGCAACACCGTTTTCTAACTCCAAAAGCAGATTTGCCTGCTGTGACCTTGACAATGGGGTCAAGGTCACCAAAACCGACTGGTGTCTGTATATACACCATAGTTCCAAATATGAAGACAATCCAGTGTTTAGTTCTTGAGATATCGCGGCAACACCGTTTTCCAACTCCAAAAGCAGATTTGCCTGCTGTGACCTTGAAAATGGGATCAAGGTCACCAAAACCGACTGGTGTCTGCGGAGTCTGTATATACACCATAGTTCCAAATATGAAGACAATCCAGTGTTTAGTTCTTGAGATATCGTGGCAACACCGTTTTCCAACTCTAAAAGCAGATTTGTCTGCTGTGACCTTGAAAATGGGATCAAGGTCACCAAAACCGACTGGTGTCTGCGGAGTCTGTATATACACCATAGTTCCAAATATGAAGACAATCCAGTGTTTAGTTCTTGAGATATCGCGGCAACACCGTTTTCCAACTCCAAAAGCAGATATGCCTGCTGTGACCTTGAAAATGGGGTCAAGGTCACCAAAACCGACTGGTGTCTGCGGAGTCTGTATATACACCATAGCTCCAAATATGAAGACAATCCAGTGTTTAGTTCTTGAGATATCGCGGCAACAAACAGGTGGGACGTACGGACGGACGTACGGACGTACGTACGGACGGTCGTGAATACTATATCCCCCGCTTCGCGCTTTCGCGCGGCGGGGGATAACAAAACATTTCGTCAATTACCTTTGACACAAACAGCTTTTCCTGTGCGAGTTTCCAGGCATCTCATACCTTCACAAGAGTTCAGTGAACAGGAGACAACTCTGACCTGAATGACAGAAATGATTGGGGGAAAATGGCAAATATGCAATAGGAACATGCAATTGACTTACTTTGACTTGTTGTGAGTGAGTTAGCTTTGTTCAGGATCGCTATGAACAGTATTCCATTTGCATCACAGCATGTCAGCTTCATGTGGGAGGAAAGCCTGAAGTAATGCAAGTCTTAGATGTTTACCACTTTGATGAAATCCACTAGCCCTTGTATACTGCTGACAGAACTAGTAACATAGTCTCGTCGAACAGGGATTCAAACCCACACTCATGGGTTTCTAATGTGCCCAAGGGATGCAACTCTGCACAGCGAATTGCGGCGCCTGGGCCACTTGGCCTCCAGTGACCTCATTTTGATTTGGAGGACAGTGAGTTGAATCTCTGTATTTCTCTAGCAACTGTGTGCATATATTATTTCATCATGTACATACTTATCACTTAAATGTGAATGGAAACCTTTTAGTTATTTTCTCAATTCTAAATTGTGGACGTTGGTTTGGATATGCTTGGATAGCTCTCGGAATATAGGCATAAGGAAGGCAATGGAAAAATTATAACCACCTACCAGTACCAGATGCACATAAAGTTACTTCACACATTGATCGTGTAAAATCGCACAGTTAACCTGTTGCAAATATACTTTGTGGTTGAGCGAGTATTGTTTTACGCCGCTGTATTCAAGTAATATTATGGTGGGGTCACTTATTGTACACATGTGGGGAATCCAACCCGGGTTATCGGCGTGATGAGCGAATGCTTTAATAACTACTCAAACTGGGCTACTCAACCGACACAGTAAATTCATGAACCTCATTAGTACTTGTGTAATCATGTTAGTTCACATAAGTGTCTGCCATTAAAATATTTTAGAAATATATCCTAATATTTATATTTGAGGTGGTTGCAGGGCAAACAAACAGACAGCTTGGTGAACAACAATGTTGAACATTTGTTTTGTCAAGGCACTCTTGAAGAGCAACCTCCCTGTGGTGAGTGCTGGGTAGCGCTAATAGCTCTTCCCCAGTGTGGACCCGGGGTAGAATTTGTCCTCAGCACCCCATTGCTGACGGTAAAAGGCGACCGAATAGGGCAACCTTTTTGCCGTGGTTTGCGCCCCTGTGTCGGTGGAAGAAGGGATTCTTGTGGTTGAGGGCATTGGAGGCAGGAACCAGTGTTCCTTTTGCCCAACACACCACTTTTACCCTGACTTCACCTAGACGGGTGTTAAGATGGGCCCGGTCTCATCAGTTGGCTGGTCATGCCAAACCCTGTGCATCAATATTGTGTATGCACAAACGTGATTTATATAAATGTATTATTTGGTCTTGGTCATGTATTACATGTTTGACCTCACAAATTATTATGTAAGAGATTGCCGCGAGTCTTATGCCAGAAGGCGGTGGCTCATGGGCCAATCTGGTAATGAGCCGAACTAGCCTGGCATTTACTTCAGTACAAATATTGCTATTTGTTTATATTTGCTAGAGTATAACACCCTTGTATCCTTGGTGATTGCATTTTGGATATCCGGTGCAATGTAACACTGTCCTTGTTGACACTCGATGGCGGGTTTGCACCAGGTGTGTTGAACCAATATATTTCACATGTCAACTCGAAACGAAAAAAAGAGACGTCTTGAACGTGACAGTTCAAATGAAAACACTAACACAAAATCACAAAATATAGATTCCTGGTCTCGGTTCTTGAGGCTTCTGATCATGAACCAATTAAATTTAATCCTTTTGCTGTATCTAAAGCTGTGTCAGGAATTTGTGGAGAGGTGAGAAATGTAACTTGTCTTCAGACTGGCTCTCTTCTTGGGGAGTGTGACCAGAGACAACAATCTCTAAATCTTTTGTCAGTAACACAGTTTGCAAATGTTGAGGTTGTTGTGTCCGCTCACAGGACACTAAACTAATGTAGGGGCATAGTTCGAGTCCGAGCGCTTTGCCTTTCTGATATGTCCGAACAAGAGATTCAAACTGAACTAGAGGATCAGGGTGTAACAGCTGTTAAGCGTTTCAACGAAAAAGTTGAAGGTGTTATCAGCCAAACAAGTACTTACTTGCTAACTTTTGCCTGCACATCAATAAAGGCTGGATATCTTAGCATCGGGGTGGAGGTGTATGTCCCCTCTCTTCACTCAGATGTTATACATGTTAACAGTTTGGCCACGGTTCTAAATTGTGTTGCAGCTCTGTGGTGTGTCATCGATGTGGTGACCACCATGAACATTCTGAAGGTCAAAATGACACCAATTGTGCTAACAGTGGTGGTAGTCATTTTGCCTCATCGAAGTCAACGCCAATCAGAAAGTGTTAAAATAAAGTACCAAACATTTCAATTTCAGAAGCAAAGAAACTCTATCTCAACCAGACAAAATCTCCCTCAACTCTAACTTCCTGTGCTGTGGTCAGTCGACCTGTCTCAACTACACCTATCACGTGTCAGAATTATTTAACATTGGTAAACTCAGATCAGCC